GAGATGGATTAGATAGATGACCTTTACTGTCAAACTGTACAATGCTCTGTCTTTATCATTCTGGTTATGGATTAGTGGGAAAGGTATAAAAATGGGAAGTGAGGCAGAATGAAAGTTCTCAGGACTAGAAATTAAGAGTTAGCATTTCTGTAATGCTTTAAGGCTTACAAAATGCTTCACCTCTGTTATGTCATTTGATTGTCAGCCACAACTCTGGGAAGTAGGTATCGTAATTATCCTCATTTTACAGAGCAGGAAACTGAGGCTGAAATAGGTTAAGTGATTTTCCTGGGGTCAGAGGCTGGTTAGAGTTTAAGGCAGTATTCAAACCCAGGTCTTTCTTCAAGTCCAATACTCTTATCTATGCATTGGACACTTAGTGGGTTTGTTAGGGGATTTGAGGTCTGGCAGGTTCTGGCTTTACTACTAACGGTCAATCTGTGATGTTAATCATTTACTTAAACTCTGAGTCTTAGTTTATTTCTTTATAAAATAAGAGTATTGGACTTTATAATCTCTACAAGGTACTTTTTATTCTAGCGCTCTATGAGTCTGTGAAATTGGAAGTATTTATTTCTTTGAGCTTTATTTTGTACATCATATTAAATTATTTTAGTATTTATATTTACCTGATTTTAGTCTTTAATATTATTTTACAACTTAAGTTTTTTAAATTAAAAAATTAAATTTTTAAAAAGTTTTTACAATTTTTAAAAAATTTAACACTTTTAAAAAAATTGTTGCTGTAAATAAGAACTGAAAAATTCATAGCTGTCATCTGTATCTCAGTTGAGAGGCCACATGGGTTGAGTGAATGGAAGGCCTGCTTCAGAGAAAGGAAGACCTGGGTTCAGGTTTGACCTTTGACACATAATGACTGTGTCAACCTGGGCAAGTCACTTAATCTATTAGTTCTTCAGGCAGTTCTCTAAAACTCTACATTATAGGAATGTTTTTTTTGTTGTTGTTCATTTATTTTTCTGCATTTAAAGCCCTTCAAAAACTAGCCCCATACTACTTTTCCAGGCTCACTGTCCATTACTTTTCTCCCATTCACTTTTTGGGTTAGCCACACTGTCCTTGTTCTTCACATAGAAAACACTTCATCTCCACATCTTTGCTCTAATTAAGAGGGCAGCTAGTGGAGAGATTGCCAGGCCTGAAGTCAAGAAGACTGAGTTTAAATCTGGCCTCAGATGCTTACTAGCTGTATGACCCTGGGCAAGTCACTTAACTTCTGTCTGCCTCAGTTTCCTCAACTATAAAATGGGGATCATAATAGCACCTATTTCCCAGGGTTGTTGTGAAGATCAAATAATACAATATTTGTAAAGTGCTTAGCACAGTGCCTGTCACACAGTAGGCTTACATTTCCTTCCCACTAACCTCATTGATTCTTACTAAGGACTTAGCAATAGCAAATTTATTTAATGACATTTGCCCTGTGGTTTGTGGGACAGTATTATTTTCAAGGGACTGTTACGAGTAGCGGGGACCTGCCATTTTGGGGAACTACATATGAAACTGATATCATGTCAGTTTCATCAGTCAGATGGGTAAATGCAATACCTCCCTGCTCTGTTCTCACTAAAAATACAATAGAACAGTAATAAAACAGAGCAATCTTTCAGAGACCATGTTTTTATTATGTGAGTCAACTATAAATCATCAATTTGTGAGAGTCCCTGCATACTTGCAAAATACACAAACACACATTAAATTAATTCTTTCACTGCAACTTGCAGATTTTCATGGCTTAAGGCAAGCTGTTATTTAAAGAAATCTACTTGGGGGAAGATATTTTATCAAAAATTCTTTTATCAAATGAATGTGTCTGTTTATTAGTGAAATGCCTATGTAATCTTTTTCCAGAGGAGTGCCATGGCTTTCTAGTAGATCTTACTATGTCATACACCCCAACAATACATTCACTTTAGGGTAATGAGTGGTATCTGGCTGCTCCTATTTTCAGTTTAGAATACAAGCAAAAGAATTCTATTCCACTGTGCTTTCTGGACCGAGAAACTTTCAAGTAAGTCACTATTATCCTCAGGCATGACTTCTGTCAGCTCTACTTAGGGATCAACCACAAAAGTCAATTCTCTTTTGGGGGTTGGATTATATCCCCCTCTCGGACTCTCCTGTCCCTTTCCCTCTCCCCCTGCCCAATTCTTTTGATCACAAGCCTCCTACTTCCCTTTCATTACTATTTATATTTACTATTTGGCTCTTCTACATTGATCTTCTTAGAGTGTTTCATGTTTTATAATTTCTTTGCATCATACATCATGACCTCATCTTGTTGAGAGAGTCAAACATTCTGGGTTGGCCTAGAGCTGTGTTTCACTTCCTGTATACCAGAAGGCTTTTGTCTTTCTGGAATCAGTATGTTAAATGTTTGTTCACTATTTCTCTTTCAGGTCTTCCCTCTTGCCTGGATACCCATTTAGATGAATAAATTAGAGTTGTTTAATAATTGTCTCAGAAATTAAAAATTGTAAATCATTTTGCAGATGCATTAAATCATTGTAAAATAATTGTGAATTATTATGTAAACCATAAATCAGAAAACTGTAAATCATTTTGCTGCATACATTCTAAATAGCAATGGTGATAACTATCTTTGGAAGCTGTTGAAATTTACCATTTTATAGGATGATTTTTTTTTATTGGATAGACCCTTCACAGATCATTATTTTTGCAATCAGTTTTTAAAGTGCTTGTCAGAGAGAATGGATACACAGAAAAGAATTGTGTTGATAAAGTGCTAATATGGATTAATTCATGCAGTTCTATGGATCTTTGACAAGTTTTTCCACCCATGTAAGCAAGGGAGATGAATTAAAATAATTATTCTTTCTTGCTTGGTTTAGAAGTTTCTCTTAGCCATATTTTTATTTTACTTTTATTTTATTAAACTCAAGGGACTCATTTCTCAAAATAGGAAATAGGTAAGAGCAGAAAAGCCTTTAGGAAAAAGCAATGTTTTGAGATTTCCAGTTTGATGCTTGGTTTGCTTTCTTCTTTGTTGTCAGATCACTTAACTAAAGACATGCCTTGCACACAACAATTCCTCAATAAGTATTTGTTGAATGAATGAATGACTTTTCTGTAAATATAACTTCTAGCTAAGAGATGGTGGGTGAAGAATTAAAAGAAAGGGAAATAATTATCTGAGAAGAGCTATGCTTTCAGTCAAATACAAATATTGAACACCTGCTAAGTGGAAGATATGGTGCTGAGTGCTCAGCCTAGCACTTCATGTAATCCCCTTTGGAATCTGGCTGATTTGTTATTTTGCCAAATCCCCCATTTTCTCAGGAGTGATGCTCTGAGCTTAGACATTCTTGAGGGAGGGCAGACCTAACTCACTGCTTTCTTTATTGTATCACTGAATAGCTATACCACTATGTTGATTCCAAAGTTTTTTGGGGAAAAAAAACCAACGCTTTTTTCCCCATTTTTAAAGGTAATTCCATACAGAGAAATTAATTCCTACCCATTGCACAGGGAGGATTATAAAGATAAATGTGAAGATTTGTGAGGGGGATTTGTGCTGTTTGTGACCTTTTCATTTACATTGTTGTAGTCATTGTGTATTTTATTGGTACTGTTTATTTTGTGTTCCATCGGTTCATACAAATCTGCTCACATTTTCTGAATTCCTTATAGTTGTCATTCTTGTTGTACTGTAATATTCCATTCCATTAATAGGCTATAGTTTATTTAGTCATTCCCCGAACAATGGATACCCTCTTTGTTTTGAACTGTCTAGTCTCACAAAGAATGTTGTTATGAATACCCATATTGGCCCCTTGTTTTCGTCCTTGACTTACTTGGTGGTGGCAGTAGTGGTGGTGGTGGTGGTGGTGGTGGTGATGGTGATGATGGAGGGAGATTCTTGTGTCACAGGGCATGGGTGGTTTAGTCACTTTTTTGTGCAGTTCCGAATAGGGAATCCAGAGTGGTTGTACCCCTTCACAGCACCCCAACAGAATATCAGTGTGCTTGTCTTCTCTGGGTTCTTTCAGCATCAACTGTTCTCATCTTTTGTCACCTTTTCAACTTGCATTCTGTGGGATGATAGCTCACAGTTGTTCTTATTGATATTTCTCTAACTGTTAGTGATTTAAAGGTTATTTTCATGTAGTCATATTCAATTAGCAATTTTTCTTTTGAAAGAGGAAGGGAAAGGAATAAACATTTATTAAGCACTTACTGTGTGTTGGGCATTGTGCTCTCTGATTTGGAAGTATAGAGGCTTGCACTGAATTGAAGACTAGAACTAAAGTAGTTGTATAGATAAGAAAAAAATATTAGACCAGAAATGTTAGAATATTAAGGCAAAATTTTTCTTCCTTCAATTATGTGAATAAAGGCTTTGATTTAATTCAACAAACATTTATTAAGCATTTACTATGGGGAATTTTATAAACACTTACTATATATGTATATAGCACTTACTATGAGGAAGGCATTGTACCAGGTATGCAAACACAGAAAAGAAAAACAATTCCTGTTCTCAAGAAACTTACATTCTCCTTTGGGTTACAACACAGTCAGAGATAAGTAAATACAAGATAATTTTGAAAAAAAAAAAAAGGAAAGAACACTTAAAACTGGGGGAATAGGGAAAGGCTTAGGGTAGGAGATGGTACTTGACTTCTTAGCCTTCGAAGATAGCTAGAGATTCTAAGGTGGAAGTGAAGAGGCATCCCTGGGCATTCTAGGCATGGGAGACAGCCCATGCAAAACCATGGGTGCAGGAGATGTAATGCTCAGTTTAGGGAATGGTTCATAGTTCAATGTGATTGAAATGTAGAACGAAAGGAAATAATGTAAAAGAAGTCTGGCAATGTAGGTCCCACATACCCCACTGTTAATAAAGACCTGGAAAAAACATCTCTTTTCTAAAATCTATAATTGTAATGATCAGCTATCTCAAAATTAAGTTTTATGTACTTGTTATTTCTAACCTTTCTTCTTCTTTTTGCTTGTAGGCCTTCTCTCACCATGGCCCACAGGAATCTGACAGGAAGTTGCAACGTTAACTGTGGTTGTAAAATCCATGAGTATGAGCCAGTCTGTGGATCAGATGGAATTACATACTTTAACCCTTGTCTGGCTGGCTGTGCCAATAGTGGTAATCATAGTATGGGGGTAAGTGTTTGGGGCAAATTCACAGACTGTTATTAATCCACCTTTCCATGACACAGGACATGTAGATATTCATTTACTGTTGTGATGCAGTTATTTTTATTCATTAGAGGCTTACCCTAACCATCAAAATGCCTTCTGTCACAACCTAGAGGAAAGACAATGAAGCAATATTACCTTTCTCCAGAGATGAGCTCAGCTTTGAGGAGGCAGTTGACTTCCACACCAGCACTTTGGCTATTTGCATTACTGGCTCAGTGCAACATGATAAGGTTCACCCCTCTCCATCACTCTCCTCTTTTTTTTTTTTCTTTTGACATCTCTTGTGTGCAAATGTGAAGGTCAACATGGCCACTGCAGTTGATGCTCATGAAATAGAACAGTAAAGTGAATGGTCTTTGATTTCTTCTCTATTATTTCATGAACTAGATCTGATGTGTGAGTAAGCTATACTTTTGACACAATTGGGGTCTTTAAAATCTCCTCATAAGCTGTTTTTAGGAGCCAAAGAGATATTATACTTTTTTTTTAAACTTCGGGTTAAAGATAATTCTGTTGGTTCAGCCTTTCGAAGTTTATTTTGAGAATTCATTTCCCCATAAGTTATGAATAACACATAAAAAAACATTCTAGCTGAAAGAGCATTAGATTCAGAGTTGGAGCACTTGGTTTCCAATCCTAGTTCTTTTACTGACTAGGTCTTTTTTTTTTTTTTACCTGCAAATCTGTTGAACTCTCTGGAATTTAGTCTTCCTTTATAAAATGAGTGTTGGATAAGCTTATTTCCAAGTTCTCCTCTAGCTCTAAAGCCTCTGATCCTGAGAATCTATGATTCTATTAACTATAGAAAAATTTATTATGATTAATAAGGATAATGTTACTGAGAACATTTATGTAGCACTTAAAGGTTTGTAAAGTGCTTGTGTAGAAGTTATGGCCCCCTTTTTGTAACCCTAGTTTTCCTCAAGTCTCAGTTTGAGCTGTTTTCCATTGTTGTTAGTGCCATTGAGAATAGCTTTATATTTATCTTGTGATTACTTATCTGAGTGGGTGCTATGTCTCCCAAGTAGCATGTAAAATCCTTGAAGGAAGGGGCTGTGTAATTTTTGTTCTTTTATTATTAGGGCTTAGCACAATGCCTAGCACATAATTGGAACTGAATAAATACCGGTTGAATTGAATTGAACCTCATAGTTCCCTTTGTATTGATACTACAAATAAGGAAATAGAGTCTCTCAGAGAGGTTACTGGGTTCAGACTTTCTCAGAGAACACATGGATAGTAAGTGCCAGAGGTAGGATTTAAGCCCATGTCTTCCTGAATTCAAGGTCAGCACTGTTATCCTCTAGGCCAGTGGTGTCAAACTCTAATAGAAACAGATTCCTGGGCTGCAGTAGACTTAGAAAACCACAAATTAACATTTGCTGTGCTGGATTGCATTTTTATTTATTTTGTTAAACATTTCCCAATTACATTTTAATCTGGTTGAGGATCACACTCAGGAGTTTTGTGAGTTGTTGGCTATGAGTTTGACAGCGCTCTCCCAGGCCAAGCTTTAATAATCCAATGAATCTGTGAGTTTATTTATTTAGGTATCCCTCCCACCATATACACACCTTACAATCCATTCCCACCTTTTCACTGGGACTTTAATCCACGACTACCCATAAATCCTCCAGAGAGATCCACCCAGTGTCCTAAAGGGTTTCCCTATCTGCTGACAACACCTGCATATGAATTCAGCTAAGAATTGTATCACTGATTATCCTGTGCTCTTACAACATCACTGGCCCAGGTCCGTTTCTGGTCATTCACCTCTTTGATGACATCATTCCTACTTTTTGCATGCAATTTAGCATTGGGCAGCCTCTTTTTTCTGTAATAAAATATATTACTGCTAATTTACTAAGCATTTTTCTCATAGCAACCCTGTGAGATAGGTGGTGCAAATACTGTTATTCCCATTTGGTAGATGAAGAAATTGAATCCCAGGAAAATTTAACATATTCCTCAGGAAACTTGAACATTATCCTGTACACAATTATTTAATGTGGGTGAGGCAGGGTGGCACAATCACTAAAGGATAAGTTTCAGAGCCTGGAAGTTGTTGTTCGGTCATTTTCAGTTGTGTCCAATTCCTCATGGCCCCATTTGGAATTTTCTTGGCAAAGATACTAGTGTGGTTTGCCATTTCCTTCTCTAGCTCATTTTACAGGTGAAACCAAGGCAAACAGGGTTAAGTGACTTGCCCAGGGTCACACAGCTAGTAAGTGTCTGAGGCCAGATTTGAACTCTGGAAGATGAATCTTCCAGACTCCAAGGCCACCTAGCTGCCTAGAGCATAGAAAATAGGTTTAATTCCTGCTTTAACAAAACCTAGCTGTGTAACCATGGGCAAGTTACTTATCTTCTCAAGTAACTTTCTTTTTTTTTTTTTTTAATGGGTTATCAGAAAGCCTTTCTTTCAACCCACAGAAAATGTATAAGATGGAGACTCAAAGATATACATAAACAAATGCAAGAAACATAAAACAGTGATCAAATAGCCCCTTATGCTCATTATAATCTCGCCCACTCTTGTAAGGTAATGACAATTTTGTTGTACTACTGATGTTTCACCTCTACTGTACAAGGAATTTATAGGTCTAGATCTCCTGGTCCTCCAGGTATTGGCTTTCTCTAATCCAAGATAGCCAACTAGCTATCTTGGTTGTCTTCTCCTCTGAGAAGCATGCTATTAAGGAAACCCTTTCCCTCTGGTCAAATGATGCCCAACTTCTGAATTCAAGAACTTTCAGAATATAAGCTAGAAACAGATTTCTGAGCTCAATTGGAATGGGGAGTTTCCACATGGGTATTCTTATATCAATTAAATAATAGGTAAACTCCCTCCCCAAAATAAAGTGTTGTCTTCTTGTATAAGAACAGTATTTTGGGGCAGCTAGGTGGCGCAGTGGATAGTGCACCGGCCCTGAATTCAGGAGGACCTGAGTTCAAATCCGGCCTCAAACACATAACACGTACTAGCTGTGTGACCCTGGGCAAGTCACTTAACCCCATTGCCTAGCCAAAAAAACAAAACAAATAAACAAACATAAAAAAAGAACACTATTTTGGATCTAAAAAGAACCTATTTTGGAGACAACATTAAAATATCTTTGACATTCTTGGATTGGTGGTGTGGGGCTACCATACTGAACAAACAAACAAACAAACATTATATATATATATATATAGATAGATATAAAGATCTTTCTATTTTAAAACATAAAAATGCAGTGGCAAGTTGTAAAATAGATTATAGATGATTTATTTATTTTTTTATTTAATGGACCAAATTCAGTGCGTGAGTCATTGTAGGCCTTAAGTCCAATACCCAAATATTTCTTTGGTATTAAGTTAGTTCTTTAGTGTAAGCACATTAACTCTTTCATGGCATCTGTTTGCTGAATGGCAAGCAGATGGCCAAACAGCCTTCCTTAGTCACACTTCTTACCACTATACTGGATGATGAAAATGTCAAAGTAGTTTTCTAATTCATTGAATGCAGCAGGTTTATTTTTTTTTAAAGAGAAACAAAAAATCAGTCAAATGAGGGTGGTTGATATAATTTTTTAATTTTAATTGGTTATAAATGCAAAAATGGTAGTTGGCTGAATTAATTTTTCACTTGTTTTGGCCTTGCATTAAAAGTATCATTAAAAATAGGGGGAGATTTTGACTGACTAATGTTTCTAGAAAACTATTCCCTTGCTCAGTTTATTATGCCAGGATAATAGTGACTTTTAAGTTGCCCATTTCCCATATCATGTAATCTACTAGATGAAGTAGTTTTACTCACAGGGTCTGACTTGCTATGACTTAAAAGGAGAAAATTCTGTGATGATGATTATTATTAATAAATATTAACAACATGTATCTTCTATAGCAAAATGGCAAAGTGGTTAGAGAATTGGCCTCAGTGTCTGCAAGACCTGCATTCAAATGCCACCTCTGACATCCACTGGCTGTGAGACCCAGGGCAAGTCATTTTACTTCACAGTGATCTAAGCAACTCTCTTAAGACTTTAAGTTGCAGAAAAGGGACTGACCTGCATTGGCAAAGGGAGTTTCTTTGTCCAGGAATTTTCAGTATCAATGAAATCACAGGCCCAAGTTACTACCCCTTTCCCCAGGGGTGTGCTAGAACCTGGCTTGTAAGAGCAGATTGTTAAATTTTCAGTCTGATCATTTAAACCTCAAAAATATTGTAGCATTTGCTACAAATCTGGGCTTAATTTATTGTTTTGTTGATTGTCTAGACTTAAGAAAGTCTTAATAATGCAGATCAAACTTAGAAGTGTATGTATATGTGCATTTCCACCCCTTCCCTCCCAGCCCATCATTAAACATTTATCAGTTTTCCAGCTGGTAAGGAGCTTCCCATTCAAATATGGGTTGGACTACTAGCTACTGAGATTCCTGCTAACCCTGAAATTCTGGGATTTTGTGATATTCCTTAACAGTATGCTTAATACTATGTATATGTGTGTGTGTGTGGGGGGGGTTGATGCTCACAAAGAAATGTAACACACAATAATACCTCAGCAGAGCCAAAGACATAAGACCTACATATAAACAAATGTTCTAGACCTCTGACTTCATTGGTATAGAGAGCTCCAAAGTGAGCAAACTCCCTTCTGCTAATATAGGTCAGCACCTTGTCTTCCACTTACTTTCGGAGAGTTAGCTGCCTGGGGCACTGGGAGGTTAGCCTTGCCCAGAATCCCCAAGCTAGTCTGTATCAGAGGTGAGCCTTGAATCCAGGTTTTCCTGGCTTCCAGGATGACTATACACTCTAATAGTTAAACAACTAAATAAGATAGTGTGGTGAGAGCTAAATGAATAATACAGACAGTAAGTATTTCAGGAGTCAAGAAAAGGGAGAGATGAACATTGGAGTGGACAGGGAAGGTTCATGGAGGAAGCCTTGATGGTCAGCATTCTTTACTGGTCTAAGAAGAGTTTACTGACAAGATGTGCGTCCTTTGGACCTCATTGTTCTTCATAGTATCGTGCATTTAGAGCTGGAAGGGACCTTGGTGGTCACCCTGTCCATCCCTTCATTTTACAGATTTGGAAACTGAAGCCCAAAGAGGTTAAGTGACTTGCCTATGGTCACACAGATAGTACCTAGCAAGGTAGGGATTTGAACCCAGATCCTGTGCTTCCAAGTTCAGTGCTTTTTCTTCTGCACCAATTTATCTATCCCTATATAATTTTCTACTTAGATTCATTCTAACCTGTTCAGTTTATTTTTCTTTTTGAGGCTGATTGTCATTATTGATGAGCACATCATATAACTTTGTGAGCATAATGCATGTAGTTACAAATTAAGGTTCATCCAAAAACCACTCATTCTGAAATTTTGCTTTCACAGTCTTATTATTTCCCTGCTGTGAATTTTGTTGTTGTTGCTGATCACAGTGTTTAGCTTGAATGCTATTTTATCCATTTCCTTTCTTCAGGTACGTAATTACACAGAATGTGCCTGTGTTCAGAGTCGACAGGTCATCACTGCACCGACGGTGGGACAGCGGAGTCAGCTCCGGATGGTCATCGTCAAAACCTATCTCAACGAGAATGGCTACGCCGTGTCTGGGAAGTGCAATCGGACCTGTAATACCCTTATTCCATTCCTTGTTTTTCTTTTCATTGTTACTCTCATAACAGCATGTGCTCAGCCATCAGCCATCATAGTCACACTCAGGTGAGCCCTGGATTATCCTTACAAGGAGGCCTTCATTATACTAATAGAAGCTACTGTAAAATATCAGGGTTTGAAAGGTCATTATTTTTGAGCTGGAAGAGGCATCAAAGGTCACCTTGGTCATACAAGCCTAGCCCTGCCTTGGGAACTGAACAGGATAACTCAGAGAAGAGAAGAGTTTGGATGGAATGAGATGGAGGGCATTTAGGCACTTGCCCAGCATTTGTGCTCTTTTTTGGATGGGAAAGGGGTTGGTATGTGACTGGCTAGGAGCAAGGACCAGAGGACAGTGCTAACTTGTTCTAATCCCTAACCCTACCCCTGAGATAGCTTCCATAGGATGTCCCTGCTTCCTAAAAATGCCAACCCTGAAAAGTTCTGCTTTGTTACCTGGCTCCATGAGAATATGTATAACCTGCGAGCAAAACCACGTCTGATACTGGAGGGGAGCAACAAGAAGCCTATGGAACTGGGGAAATGATTCGTACTAAAAAGACAAGGCTCCCCTAGATTCCAAGCAGGTGGTAGATGGACACTTACTGGATGTTATAGAATGTATTCCTGTTTGGGTCTCTTGCCAAGCCTTTCCAATTCTACTTGCCCAATGGCTAACATCTCCTCTCCACTCACACAGTCACCTCGCTAGGTCAGGCCCTCTTAATATCTCATCTGAACTATTGCCATAGCCTTCTAAAGGGTCATCCTGCCTCAGAGTCTTTTCCCTCAGCAATCTGTTCTCCACACAGTGGACTCAGTTGACAAACTCTTATTAAATGCTTACTATGTTCCAGGCACTTGGTAAACATTTAAGATACAAAGCTGTCAAAGTGGCAGTCCTTGCCAAAGCAGAGATCTAACCATGCTCTTCCCCTGCTTAAAAGCTCTACTGGCTCCTTATAACCTTGAGGTTAAAATAAAAATTCTTCAGTTTGGCATTTGGAGCCCTTCATAACATGACTCTAGACTGAGCAGATATACTGCCCTTCTCCCACTCTGTGGTCAGGCCAAACCGTCCCATTTGTGTTCCTCAAACGTGCTATTTTATGTCCTGTCTCTTTGCCTTTGCATATTCCACAGGTCTGGAATGCTCTCCCTCCTTCATGACACCTCTTAGAATCCCTAGGTTCCTTCCAAGCTCATCTCAAGTGCCTAATTCCCCCCAGCTCATTGTCCCTTCCCCTCCTCAGCCCTATGGAACTTTCCTTATATTTATTTTGTACTTACTTGTATGTGTATGTTTTCTTCACCTTAAATTCGGGGATTATTTAGTTTTTGTCTTTCTATTGCCAATGCCTTGTGCCATGCCTAGCACATAGTTGGCACTTAATAAATGCTTGTCAATGGATTGGTTGATTGGTAGAACTTTGGGTTGTGTTAGTTAGCCTTTCAGGTCCTTTTTGGCCCCAAGATTCTGAGATTCTACGATTCTAGGTTGGATGGCAAGTGTAGTTTGTTCTGCACAAGCAATTACTAATGTTGATTTAACTATCTTTGTACTTCCTGATCTAGAATCAAGGAGAAAATATATTGACAAAGAGACAGATTTTTTTTTTTCACTTGGCCATGCGTGCATGCTCTTCCTGTCTCCGGTTGGTTTATTTCAGGGAGAGGAACTAGACTCGTGATTTCATTAGCATAGAGAGCTCTCAGGTGAGGAATTTGCCTCTACCAAAGCCAGTTAGCATGTTTTCTGCAACTCCTAGTTGTAGAGAGCTGCCTACGGCATTAAAGGGCAATGACTTGCCCAGGGTCACACAGCCAATATGCTGCAGAAGCAGGGCCCAGATCTTCTTAGCTCTGTGCTTCGGTGCTTTTTACAAAATTGGAAAGGAGATATTTTGCCTTTTTCCTATTAAACACTTTGACACCAGCGTCTCCAGTCAGTACTGTGGTTTTCTTCAGTAATTAGGGTAATAGAAAGGATGATTTGGGGTTACCCAGGAACTTATGGCCACACTGCTGACCAATGTACTTAAAGGGTAGTATGGTATAATAGAATTATTTCTCCAAGACATTATCGAGATTAGAAAAGTGCTGCATGTAGAGGTTGTAAAGGAAAGGATCAGCTTTGTGTGCTCAGCATCTAGTAGCCGGCTGAGACAGAGAGGCTAAAAGTGAGACATAATTGTTTAGCTGAAACATCAGGGAAGGATTCTCACCCTGCTCACAACACTTAGAGGTTCTAATTTCACCTCTATTGCCATGTTCATGCCATTGGTAAGCAGCCCCTGGCAGTACAGTGACTCTTCACATCATGAAAACCCAGGCCATCCACTATCATTCAATTAATAAATATTTACCAAGTGCATACTATGTACCAGGCACCATACTAAGACAAAAAGAGACAAAAGACAGTCTCTACCCTCAACAAGCTTATACTCTAACGGGGAGGACAACATGCAAACTGGTATTTACAGAGCAAGGTATACACAGGATATATGAGAAGTAATTAACAGAGGGAAGGTACTGGAATTAGAAAGGTTGGAGAAGGCTTCTTATAGAAGATGGGATTTTAGTTGGGACTTAAAGGAAGCCAGGAAAGTCAGCAGTTGGAGTGGAGGAGGGAGAGCATTCCAGGCAAGGAGGGACAGTCGGAGAAAATGCCCAGAGTCAAGAGATGGAATGTCATATTCATGGAACAGCCGGGAGGTCAGTGTTGGTGGATCAAAAAGTATGTGTTGGGGAGTAAGGTATAAGATGACTGGAAAGGTAGGAGGGGGCTAGGTTATGAAGGGCTTTGAATGCCAAGCAGAGAATTATTATTTTTTTTTTTTTAGGCAATTGGGGTTAAGTGACTTGCCCAGGGTCACACAGCTAGTAAGTGTCAAGTGTTTGATCTAAGGCTAGATTTGAACTCAGGTCCTCCTGACTTCAGGGCCGGTGCTCTATCTACTGCGCCACCCAGCTGCCCCAAAGCAGAGCATTTTGTATTTGCTTCTGAGGCAACAGGAAGAAATGGGAGTTTATTGGAGAAGGGGGTGATATAATCAGACCTACATTTTAGGAAAATCATTTTGGTTGATGAATGGAGGATGAGTTAGAGTGAGGAGAGACTTGAGGCAGGCACACCCACCAGCAGGCTATTGCAATAATCTGGGTGTGAGGTGATGAGGGCTTGCACTAAAGTGGTGGCAATGTCAGTGTCAGGGTAGAGAAGGGGGCGTATTAGAGAGACGTTGCAAAGTTGAAAACGATAGGCCTTAGCAACAGCTTGGATATGAGTGAGTGAGTGTGTGTGTGTGTGAGCCTGAGGGACTAGGAGGATGTTGTGTTCTCTTCAGTAATAGGGAAGCTAGGAAGGGGGAGGATTTAGGGGGAAAGATAATGGGTTGTGTTTTGGACATATTAATTTAAGATGTCCAGTTTGAGATGTCTGAAAGGCAGTTGGAGGGGCAGCTAGTTGGTGCAATGGATAGAGCACTGGTCCTGGAATCAGAAAGATCTGAATTTAAATCCAGCCTCAGACATTTGACTTTTACTAGCTGTGTGACCCTGGGTAAGTCACTTAACCCTAATTGCCTTGCCAAAAAAAAAAAAAAGACAGTTGCAGATGTGAGATTGGAGGTTAGCAGAAAAAATGGGGCAGGAAAGGTAGATTTAAGTATCATTAGCATAGAGATGGTAATTAAATCCTTGAGAGCTGATGAGATCACAAAGTGAAGTAATACAGGGGGAGAAGAGAAGAGGGCCCAGGGCAGAACTCTGAGGGACACCTATGATTAGAGAATATGATTTGGAGGAAGATCTAGCAAAGGAGACAGAAAAAGAGTAGTCAGAGAGGCAGGAGGAAAACCAGGAGAGAGTAATGTCCTGGAAACCCAGAGAGAAGAGAGTATCACAGAGGAGTGATCAACAGGGTCAGTGCTGACCTCAGAGAGGTCAAGGAGAATGAGGAAAGAAGAAAACCATCGAATTTTTGGCAACTGGAAGATCATGAATAACTTTGGAGAGAGTCGTTTATGGTGGAACCTAAGGTCAGAAGTCACACTGTGAGTAAGAAGAGAGTGAAAGGAGAGAAAATGGAGGTATCTGTTAAAGATGACTTTGAATTTAGCTACAAAGGGCAGAAGAGATATAGGACAATAGTGGGGATGGGAGGAACAAGTGTGAATTTTTTGAGAGTGGGGAAACACGTGCATATTTGTAGACAGTAGAAAATTAGCCTGTAGAGAGGAAGAGATTGAGAATAAGTGAAAGAGTGGGGATGACAGAGGAGGTGATCTTGTGGAGGAGATGGGATAGAATGGGAGATGGGATAGAATTCCATGTAGAGAGGGCAGCTTTGGCAAAGAGAGAAGCCGCTTTATCGTGGGAAACAGGAGTGAAGGAGGAGAGAGGGGAGGAAGGCATCTGAGTGATAGGAGATCAGGAAGAGAGGTGAAGAGGGAATTCATGGTGAAGGGCTTCCATTTTTCCAATATTTGCTAAAAATCTGCTACGAACCAAAGTTTTCATTTTTTTGTCTTTGTGTCTCCAGCACTCACTTAAGTGTGTTGCACATAGTAGGTGCTTAATGATTGTTGAATGAATATATGATTTCTGGCAAAATTCTACAATTCATTATTAAAGGGATCATTAATGAACAGGTAGAAAAGGGAAGTGGTGATTACCAAGGGCCAGCATGGCTTCATCAAGAAAAGATCATTCTAAATTATTCTTATTCTCTATTTTGGCACATTTACTAAGACTGGACAGATCAGGGGAATTCTTAGAGCTTACCTAGATTTCAATAAAGCATTTGGCAATCTTTTCCTATTCTTCTAGAAAAGACACAGAGTAAGTTGACCTAGAATTGGTTGACTGGCCCAACCCAAGGAATAATTATTAGTTTGATGATAACTTATAAAGGAGGTGGTGAATGGAATAGTAATTTAGTGATTTGTACTTGGCTATGTGCTGTTTAATTTTTTTTATTAATGACTTAAAGGCAATAAATAATGTGCTTATCAAATTTGGAAATGACACTATGGAAGTAAAATAAAGTTACTTCCTTTCTGATCCCTGTTCCCTCTCTTAGAAATGTATGAGACATCATTGTAAAGTTGAATAAAAATAATAGCTAACATTATAGAATTATATGAACTGCCAGGCACTTTACAGATATCATATCATTTGGTCCTCTTAATGCTGTGAAGTAGGTGTTATTATTATCTGCATTTTAAAGATGAGGAAACTGAGGCTGAGAGGTTAAGTCATTTACCTGGAGTCACACACCTGGCAAATGTTTGAGACAGGATTCCAAGTTTAGCCCACTATCCGTTATGCTACATAATTGAAGGATGTATAGAAGAGGCTGACCCATATGGTTAAAGGCCTAGAATTCATGTCATATGAAGGATAAGTTAAAAGAATTGTGGATGTTTAGGTCTGAGAAGAGAAGATGTAGGAGAACATAAGTGCTCTCTTTAACTATCTAAAGGGCTTTCATTTAAAAAGGGATAACGATTTGATCTGCCTTGTCCCAGAGGGTACTGTTAGGATTGATAGGTGGATTTTTTCAAAGAGAAAAGTCTAGGTTCCTTTCAAGGATAAATTCCTTAACAGTTAACAGCTGTTCAAAGCTGCAGTGGGCTGTCCAAAGAGTTATCTGGGCTCCCCTCATTAGATGCCTTAAAGAAAAAGTTTTGTTGGGTATATTGTTGAGGGGATTCTTATGAAATTTTAGGGTAAAGTAGATGTTCTCTGAGAGTCCCTTCCAACTCATTCTTATTTGGCATAGAAACAATCAACATTAAGCAGATTTTTAAATTTTGTTCTTATTTATGTAATGTACTATATATATATAATAATGTTATATTATATATAATATTATATAACAATGACATATTATATATAATATTATGTAATATAAAATAAAATTTTATATAATTTAAAAATATTTATTTTTCATTTTATTTTTAGTTTTTAACATTCACTTCCATAAGCTTTTGAGTTTTAAATTTTCTCCCCTTCCCTCCCCTTTCCCCTCCTCAAGACAGCGTGCAATAAGCTGATTTTTCTCACTATATTTAAAGGGAATTTTTATTTCTTATATTTGTTTAGATTCAGTAATAGCTTTTCTCTTAGCCACTAGACTTTTCAGATTTAAGGAATACATACATCTAGATATGTATGTAGGTTTTCATTTAAGCAGAATTAATTTGAAACTGTTATTTCAAAACATTCTCCTTCCTTCCTTTTTTTTTTTTCCCCCTTCCTGGGCCAGGTCTGTGGAAGATGGCGAGAGACCTTTTGCACTAGGAATGCAGTTTGTTTTATTACGAACACTTGGTAAGTCTCTGAATTTCCAAATACAGTTCTTAGCTCCTCTTTGCGGGTGGATTCCTCAATTGCCTTTGAAAATGAAAAGTTGCTTGTTTTCGTTAGGGGCTGGGATTTTACAACTTGACCTGGAGGATACCACTTATCCTGATTTGAACAAATAAAAGGTGAATGGTTTAAGATCATAGATTTAGAATTGGAAAGTACCTCAAAACCTATCCAGCCTGACTCCTACATTTTGCAGATGAGGAAAATGAGGCCCAGAGAGGTGATATTATTTGCCTGGTGCCACATAAGTGTCAGAGATGACTTTTGAACCTGGGTCGTCTAACTCGAAAGTAAACACACCGACTATGCCATTTCTTAGGAAAGAGACACAGGAGGACTTCTAGCACTCCTCTCACTAGCAGGTTCACTTTTGATCTGGTCAGACAGGAAGACAGGAATGGAGTCATCATAAGGGGTTAAATAAGCTTATATTATTCTAGACTAGTCTTCTTGAAGGGAGTTTGCTGATAATGGGAGCTCCAACTCCTACAGCATTCCCTAACAACCCTTCTCGTAGGGGCCGGCATGAAGTGGGGGCAACTACCCCTAGTCTCAATGGGGTCAGTCGAGACAGGCACAACTTGTGCTCTCCCCTAAATCCGCTCAAGCCTCAATGGGAGCCGGTTGAAGCAAACACACAGATTCCCCCTCCCAAACCTTGATGGGGGCCGATCAATGCATGCACAGCATTCAGCCTGCACATTTACCTCATGGGGGTCCCCAGTCACTGACCAGCACCCACTTGCTATATAGGGCAACAACAAAGAAGGCACATTGCCAGCATAGCCTCACAATTTTATATTATTTCATCTCTATATCTACTGCGCAAGCGTAGTAGAAACTGCTTTGAACCATGATCGTGAGAACTCATATCTAACCCCTGGGAAATAGAGATTGTTATGGCTATGGATCCTGGGAAGAAAACTCTAAGAAAGTATAACAAAAAATCCACTTTACACACACTAAAATTCACCTTACTTACAATTGTCTAAGCTCTAAAGTGTCCAATTTGATTTTTCACTTGTGATGAAGTAAAAGCCGTATCGAATTTATGTTGTTTAAGGTACAAATCAAAATTTAGGCTTCATTCCCTAAACAGTTTAAAATTTTAAGTATCATAAGCCACAGCAGTATGCAATAGACTTATTAATAGGCTTATGGAATATACATAATTCTGTCCTGTTGTGCATTTTTAATAATTAAAATGATGGTATTCATTCTTCTCTTGAGAGTAAGTTATTCAGTTGCCTAATTCTTTGGAGAATGGTCCTATTTGTTGTTGAGTCATTTCAGTCATGTCTGACTCTTCATGACCCTATTTGGGGTTTTCTTGGCTAAGATAGGAGTGGTTTGACATTTCTTTCTTCGGCTCATTTTATAGATGAAGAAACCGAGACCAACAGGGTTAAGTGATTTGCCCAGGGTCACAAGGCTTAGTAAGTGTCTGAGGTCAGATCTGAATTCAGGTCTTCCTGACTACAGGCTCAGAGCTCTATCCACTGTGCCACCTAGCTGCCCCCTAGACTTCTTTTTTTTTTAAGAACCAGGATCATTAACACAACTGAAAGCAGTGTAGTAGATTGTAACATCAGTCTTCGTTGGTGGCCTCACATCATCATTTTGGTTTTATAAATACTCTTGCCCTCATTCATTGAGCTGATACTTTAGGGAAATGTAGAGAAAATAAGTTTAGCTGAAGCATTTTCTAAACTGACAGCTCTGAGCCTGTTTGCTCCACCAATTTCAATGCATTTTTAAAAAGACTTCCTCGTTTGATAGATGCTCAATCTTAAATTGCAGCCTCTCATTTCCCTCAGCTGCTGTTATTCTTTCCAGCAATCAGTACTTTTGTCCACAGGACAAAAGAATGTGGTTCCATGCCTTGAATTTCCAAGTGTGAACCACATTTCTACATTAAAGGAGGAAGAATCTTTTAACCAGGATTTCGATGTATTCAGTGTTACTGGAATCCTCTGGTGGCTGTCAGGAGCCCTTGTTTCTCATGTTGGCTTTCTAGAGATAACCAGAGGGTGAAAGCTTTCTTTTTTCTTGTAAAATATGGTAACAGTTTTGTACCCATAGAAGGTTTTTTTTTTTTTCCCTGAGAAGGTGCTTTATAACCTATGTTGTTTGCAAAATAAATCTGGAGTACTTTGAGAGAATTGAATGGGGGCCAACTCAAGCAGGTATGGGGGTTGAAGGAAATCACTATTTTCACAGAAGAAAAATTGTTTCTGCAAAGGATTGTCTAATAGAAGGGGTAGGGAAGTGTAGAGAAGGAGTCTTTTCTTTTTGTGTTCTCTCTCCTGAGCCTTCATCTTGTGAAGTTTGTTGTGCCGAATGTGGTCAACAGTTCTGATTTACCTGATTTAATTGTCAGGCATTATTGCTTTTTAGAAGGCTTAGCTATGCACACAGGTCAACACCCGTTGTCAGAATCTTCAAAGGAAAAGGAGATTTCCAAGTTCTCTGCACCCATTTGTGATTTCCTAAAAGAATTTTGAGAAGTAGTTTGGAGTAGTCACTAGAGGGCTAGTCTCTGGGTTTAAGTTCTGCCTCTGACATATTCTGACTCTGTGATCCTGGACAAGTACCTTGACTTTCTAGTGGCCTAGGCAACTCTCTTCGACTGTAAAATAACAGAGCGGTTGCAAGTTTTCATTGGTGGAGGGTGTTTGCTCCCTGGGAATTCCCTACAGGGATAAAATCACAAGTCAAGACAAAAAAATAAATAAAAATGTCATTGTTATAAAACAAACAAAAACAAAAACAAATCTACTTCTAACCCTCAAAGGGCCTAAAGTTCCTTTTCCCTCATTCCCTGTCAGCACCTCTCATGTGCATGGCATAGGGGAAGTGACTCATTGTAGACTTTCTGTCTGATAGACAGCTATGTGTTATCCACACAACCACCATAGTGTTCTCTGGGTTTAAGGAACTAGAGATATTTAGCCTGGAGAAGAGAAGACTTAGGAGTAACATAAAAATCTGTAAGTATTTAAAGGGCTGACATGTGGAAATAGATCTGATCTATTTTGCCCCAGAGGATAGGTATTAGCTCAGTGGATGAATGTTCCAAAGAGGTAAAGCCCAATCACAAAATACCAAATTAATTATCAATAAAAGCTGTCTCCCATGATGCAGTATCTGACACTTTTGAATGAAACCTCTTTTGATATTTCAGCAATGTAGACCAGGTCCAAGATAGACCTGTGATGGTCAGAATTTCATGTCATAGCAAAGTATTGGCACATGATTCCAGAGCTTCTTGTAAATTTTCCTTATAAGTTTGGGGGTTGGAAGAAAAAAACCAAACTGTTTGTTTCTGCAATTCATTGTAATGAATTGAACTGTCAATAATGACTAGTGCTATGAGCTTCTGAGTATATTTTCATTATAATAAACATTTTATGGCAATGAATTTTTTGTAATAAAGTTTGAGGTAAGGTGGTATAGTAGAATGCTGACTGTAAGTAAAGACAGACAAATCTGGGTTCAAGTATTACCTCAGATATTTACTAGCTATGTGACCCTGGGAAAATTACTTAACCTTTTTGGACCTTAGTATCCTCATATGTAAAATGAGGGGCAAGGGTAGACTCAGTGACCACGAAGGCCCTTTTTCTCTCTAAATATATGATCCTATTATTTGTCACAAAAATAAATAAGTAAAGCAACCCAAAAGAAAATTACATGCATCAAAAACCCAAAGCCTTATTTATTTAGCCTATTTTAGTGGAAACCCATATTTTCAAAACTTGTGTAAATTGCATTTCTCTTTTTAATACATACTAAATATGGATTCTTTTTTTTAACTTCTAGCATACATTCCTACTCCAATTTATTTTGGAGCAGTTATTGACACCACCTGCATGCTTTGGCAACAGGACTGTGGCGTGCAAGGCTCTTGTTGGGAATATGATGTGACATCATTTCGTTTTGTCTATTTCGGTTTGGCGGCTGGCCTCAAATTTGTTGGATTTATTTTTATTTTCCTGGCCTGGTACTCTATAAAATACAAAGAGAAACAGCTGCAGAGGCAAAGGTGGAGGGCATCCCCTCTGAACACTGTTAGCGAGATGGTTTGCCACACAGATCCCTGTGAAAATTATTCTCGCACTATATCATGTCCAACTTTCAACAACAGAGGGGAGCTCCAGGAAGAAAGGGGTCTTAGAAGAGGAATCTGTTACACAGCACAGACATACCCTGGGCCCTTTCCAGAAGCAATAACTTCCTCAGCAGACCCTGAGTTGGAAGAAGCCACTGCTGCCATGTAGCCCCCTTCCCTGAAGGTTCATAATGGAAGACTTAGGTTTTGTTGGTTGGATTGAAAATGGCGCCTTGTGAAACACCCGTGCCTTCTTCTTTTCTTTCTTTTTTAAACTCTAAATTCATAATCTATGAACCAACAAAACTCAATGCAAACAGCCATTACTGATTGCGAGCTGGATACCTCAATGTGACTTAAGAGTCTTCTTTATCCCCGTCTCCTAAAAATGGAATTTAAAGATAGGTTGTAACTTCGGCTATATTAATTTAATGTTCATGCTCCAATCTAGTATAAGTCAAAGGCTGAGATATTCTAAATCGTGAAGTAGAATTATGAGAAGAATAATAGAGATGCATATCATTAATATAGACTTCAAACAAATAAAGGTGAGATGTTTCATCAGGTTTGCATTTACAAATCATAGTTTTTAGATGATAACTACTGTGAGTTCTGCTACAAAGCACAAGTGAATTTGCCTAAACTATGCAATTTGGTTGGAAATTTGTATGTGCAGCATGTTCATTTGTTTTTTAGAGACCTTGATCCAGCTCAGTCTGGAAAGGAAGCTAAAAAAATTTGTCCTCTTTTTTCTTAAAGTACTATTGATAACTGTAAGCCATAGAAGAGTTAGATATCAGGGAAAGTTTTCAGAAGCTTCAAAGACACCATAGGCAGCACCCAGTATAGCAAACACTTGAATTCATAGCATGTTTTCTATTTCAGCCTCCTCCATTCTAAGACTGGGAAAGAAGCTGCTGAATCGTAAATGCAAGGGCTTGGAAATAAACTAAAATGTTATTGATATTGTAAAAAGGGCACAGTGAGAAACTTCGATTCTGAGAAAGCTCCTGGCTGACTTCCTTTCTAGGATAGTTGCTGGACAAATTCATTGGCTAAGATCACAGTCAAGGCAGCTACATTTTTAACTTTTAAAATAAAAATAGTGAGTGCCTCTTCTTCATCTTTCCCACCACCTGCCCCTAACCTACTTGGCAACCATTTCAACACTGTGGTTCTAAGTGCTTGGATGGAATCATAGGTATCTATAGTTTCCTTTAAAGAAAATTGCTTTGGATTCTCCCTAAATTAGGGTATTAAATCAGGAGAGCTATATTTGAGAGTAAGAAATCCTTTTGAAGCCAGTAGAAATGAGTTGTGTGAATTGGTACCAGTCAGTCAGTCAACAAAGATTTAATTAAAATGATTAAAAGAAATGAATCTATTTTCCTGAATCACATCTCATGAGATCCTCCTACCACCTTGATTTCTTTCCTCTTTACCATCTTGAATATCCTGGGGTAGCCCTAAAAGGGAGAGTTTTTTCCTTTTACATCCACTTAATGTTCGCCTTTAAAGAATATTTATTGAATCCATCTGAGTAGAGCTTTGTCATAGGCACTAAATAAAGTTCCATTTTGATTGATCTTAATATGCCTCCTAGTACCCAATACCTAAAATAGCTACACATGCTATAGAATGAGTAGCTAGCAAATTTGTGGGGCATGGTCACTTGTGGGGTGGTGTTATTTAGTCTTCAGGGCCAGTATAAGAGATGGTCTCACCTCTAGGTAACTGTCTCCTACAGATGGAAATGTGAGTCTGACAGTTTCGCCTCATGATTTAGGGATGAGATTTACCACAATTTAGTCTTAGTTGGATTGGAGGAGTAAGATGAATACCAGACTTGCATGTTCTTTGATAGAATGATTTCTCTTTACTTTTTAGCCACATTAGTTGTGTTTTTGGAGTGGTTGCCTGTAGTTTGTAGAGAGATAGTTATTGCTAAAAATGAAAGAGTGTTTCTAAAGGAGAAAGCAAGTTGCTGAACAGGTGATCTCAGAAGGAAGATCTGATTCATTGACACCCACCTGGTTTTAGCTATTCCATAGGATCATCGGCCTAAGGCTGGCAGGAAGCTTGGAAGTCATCTAGTCCTATCCCCTTACTTTAGAGACGAGGGAACTGATGCCCAGAGGTGGTAAGTGATTTTACCAAGTTCACCCAGGCAGTAAGTATCAGAGGCAGGATTTGAATCCATGGCCTCTGACTCAATAGCCAGTGTTCTTTCAACTATACCACAATGAATGGAAGTTATAAGTACCTCCCTAATTTTATGGTCTCTCTGCCATACAGTTCATGTAGTGCTATTCACCCTGTGGGGGAATACTTATTAACCACAAGACAGGCAGTAGTAATGAAGTTGCTTGTTTCCCATGTCCTGTCAGGGCTTCAGCTTGGGCAGGAAGTCTCATGCTTTCATGCCTTTTTTTTTTTTTTTTTAACAAAGGCTGCTTCTGGTGAGGTTCAGGGACATGACCACACCAGGGCACTTGGGATCATTCAGGCCCTTACTATGAGATATTTTTGCACCAAGTGTTTATTTCTAAGGGGATAAAGGAGATTCTGAGCAGCACACTGAAGATTTGATCATGCTTATTGTCAGATTACTGCCTGGGGCTTTCTTATATTTAACCTGCAGAGGGGAGAAGGTAGAGCTGAAGAGTTCAGCATTCCCTACATCATCCCACATTTCTTTCCCCTGGCCCCAGATTTGATGATGTTAATTGACTGCTTCATCAACCCAATGAACTTGTTGGAAAGAGGAAGAGAGGGAATGGTTTTCTTTTCTACCATTTGATGTACCCCATATTGATTTCTGAGATTTCATTAATAATACACTTCCTGCATATGGATGGTTATAGTGGTGATGGTGGATGTCCTTTAAACCTCTTGCTATCTTTAAGAAAGTTGGTATTAGCACTTCCCAGTAGGTTAGATTACTAAGTGTCTAACTCTTGCATTTCCAGGCATAGGCAAGTAATGAAATAACTAGGCATCCATTAATGAGAAGCCTCTATAACACATGAGTTTCTGTTCATTACCTCTTAAGTAGTGTCTCAAGGAGACTGCTTTCAAGAGCTATACCCGTGTGCTTGTCTATCTGGGATGTTTATTTAAGAAGCAATTGCATAAGTTTATAATGATATTTCATATATACTTTCCTTACTACTTTGTGTAGAACATCCAAGAAAAATCCTAGGTGTAGGTGTTATTAAAATTTTAATGATATATTTCACTAGATTTTAATGCTGAATCTATCTTAATGGTCATTTAGGTAAGCATCCTGTTAGAATAAGTTTGTAGTGATATACCTCAAATCTGTTTATATTCCATATTGAGTATGTAAAAAACCCATTTTAGGCATTAAAATGCATTCTAAATAAAGCTCCTAACATTAATTAAGCACATTAATTAAGCCTTGCTTTGATAATTAATTTTGGAATTGTGGGAAAAGGGTCAGGCAATTTTGTGTGTGACTATTTTTCCTAGAACATTTTTGTTCTTCTGAGGTGTTAGTATTTCCGTTAGTTCTTTGGTGGATATCAGCTTAAACAAAATTCTTAGTGAAGCTTTTCTTAAGATTTGTCAAAAATACACACCAAACCACCTGCTCTTATTGGCTATGATTAATGTTCCTACACATACCTAATAAACTCTGGGAGGCTATGAGCGTATCTTCTATGAGTAATGAAATCTGAAAAGCATTCAAGTGCCTCCTTTGACAAAAGACCAAATTGGTGATTGAGAGCTTGGGCCAAATTCTGCTATTCAGGACCCACCTGGATGAACTGAGGAATTGGATATTTTATTGAATTCAATTCAGAGATGTTTAATGATATTTGTTGTAGAATATTACACATTTCCTTGGTTGGATACACAAACCAGCTTAGTATAGGAAGTAGCAAGGTGTGGTAGATCCCGAGTTCTATCTCTGACTTTACTACTGAGTACTTGTGGATGACCTTGGACAAGTTATTTAACCTGTCTGGGCCTCAGTTTCCTCTTCTGTAAAATGAAGAGGTTGCAGTAGATGACCTCAAATGTCCTTTCCAACTTTGAAAATATATGATCCTATGCAATATGTATTTTACATTTTTTACTATTGATATTGGGAGAGATATTTTGATTAAACTCTCTGATGTAAAGCCTTACATTTGTAAAGAGTGTTTACATTGTGCAAAGTGTTTTTCCATCTGTTCTTATTTGCTGGGAAGACAAGGGAAGACATACAATCAGTCTTATTTTACAGATGAGGAAACTGAGGCTTAGTGATTAGTTACTTGTCCAAAGTCACAGTGCTAGTTGGTAGCAAAACCAGACCTATAACTCAGGTCTTCTTAGGACTCTTAGTTAGACGATCCTCCCATTATGCCATGTTATCCATCTGAGAGGGTCAACAACTATCATACCTTTTTAGTGAACCGTGTTCATGTTTTGAAAATATAATTTCATTAATGTATTTAGTTTTAGTTTATTAATACATAATATATGAATTAGATAACGTATGTAAAGTGCTTTCCAAACCTTGAAGAATTATATAAATTCTAGCTATGGTTATTGTTATAATTAATTGAGACAGTAACGCTTTGTATTAGAGTAGAGGAAGCAGATTCAGTAAGATCTCAGTTCACATCCCACCCTTGCCACTTACTGATTAATTTACCATGGGCAAGTTATTTAACTTCTATGAGCTTCATGAAGCTCCCTAACATTAATCTATTAGGTTGTCCACCACATTACTAGATGGAGTTTTTACACCAATCATGAGTGAAATCAGAGATCCTTGACCTATTATTATGAAAGTAGAGAGTATTGCAAACTAACACTTCTAGTCATTGAATGGAAAACAGTCCAAATTCAGTTTTTTAATTGTCAGGAAATGAGCACTCTGACTATGGAAATTTCATTTCTATTTACTATCCTACAAAGCATGGGAACATCATCATAGCACGACCGCTCTGTAGTGATAACAATACAGTAGAACTCTTTGTATCATGACTTCATAATATAGGACCTCAAGCTGGAAGGGACTGGGATCTGTTCCAACTCCGAAACCAAGGCTCAGTGGTTGTGCTTTTCCTTAAGAACACATGGGATGTAAATAGCAGAACTCAGAGTCAAGAGCAAGTCCTCTGATTTTAAATCCAGACTCTTTCAATTGTTCAGATTTGGATATGTTATAGTTCAAATCATAGCTCCCAAAATATAACAAACTCCGTACAAAATGTAGTTGATTTGACCTGGTTGCCATATCAGTGGATGTGAAACCTGTCTCTTAATACCAAAGTTCTCTATTTGTTAGAGCAACAAATACAGAAAAATTAACATCAATTTTATTTTCCTCTTTCTGTTTCTTGGTTGGTTTTTTATTTCAGTGGCTCTCAAACTTCATTGGTCCAAAAGTCATTCAGGTGGGGAAAGACCCCACGTACCACCTAATCCACTCATTTGCTTTTGTTAGTCATCATGAAAATACTTGCCCCAGAATAGACAGATAAAATGACACTGCTGAGAAGGGAGGTTTAGTATCAAACCAGGT